GTCATCAATGGACAAGCTTCTACCGTCACCTTCATAAATGCTCTTTGTTTCTCTTTTTATTCCAATAGAAAGTAATTCTGGATCTGTAGTTTTGTTGTTTTTTTATTGTTTGTTTTATTTTTTCTTGCAACTGCACACACTCTAGTCTCAATACTTCTGTTTCCTGACATTGGTTTTATTTATTGGCTGAACTGATTTCATTAGTTTTCCTGTTCTTGACGTCTTCTAGATCATTTTGTGTTTTTAGTAAGCGCACATTTACTGAAAGATTTAAAATCAGCCAATATAATCATTTAAAGTTGACTCACAAATATTTCCTATGGGAAAATTGCACCATAACAAAATATTTCAATTTTTAGGTCGACTTACAAATGTTCCCCTTGGGAAATTGTAGCATAAAATAAAATATTAAAACTGAAATAAAATAAATAACTTGTGCTTGTTTAAGACGTAGCTTTGGCTACAGCTGAGCTATTTAAGGTCTGTCACTTTTCCAGCCCATTAAATTTTATTTTCTGTCATCCAGTCTTAACAAAAAAAAAACAACAGAAAAACTGTTTTGCCTGGCTAGACATAAAAACATCAACAAAGAGAGTGGGAGAAAAAAAACACAAAAAAAGCAATTTTCCAAGAATATTACACATGACTGAAAAGAAATGCATTGTAATTAAATCATTTAGTGTTTAACATTCCTATGCATTATTTGCATTTGATCCTATATACAACCCAGTGGAAACACAAGCAGAAGAAACAACACAGGACGTGCTGGTGGGGGAAACATGCTTATTTGGTTGCATAACAGACAAACTTCTCGGACCACAAGGGCTTTGACCTAGCAAGCAAGCAGTCGTGCAAAACAAACATACATCAAATGCAGACTTTCAGTAAATCCAATTCAATTCTCCACGGATCAATATTCCCCTCAAATTCTCTGCTTCCAATTAAAAACAAAAGACTTGGCGTGTTGCGTAACCCTGGTCCGGACACACAGATGCCACAGCCCAACCGAGTAACTTATGACTTTTAAAGTAATACACGATGCAGAGACTCTTTCCGAAAAATTACCCCCTTTTTGCGTCGTTACATCTTTCCTCCCTCCCCTCCGGTTCTCACTGCTCAGGTTCACAGATGATTTAAGCAACGGATTAAAAGAAGGGGGTTTTGGGGGGGGTGTGGACAGGAGCCCAGTTTGTTCTGACACTAACATAAAAGAGAAAATGATGCACACCAGGCCAAGCGTTTCCATCATGTGACGAGACAGATTAAACTCACGCCGGGTCAGTTTTTCAATCCACTTAAAAGTAACTGTGCGGTTGGTGGCAACTGTATCTAAAAAGCAAGAAATCCGAAAGGCGGAATGGAATCCAAACACCATCCGTCTTGAATGAGATGTTTTATCGGCCTTAGTGTAGTAGGAAAAAAAAAAAGATCAAATGAATCAATACGTTTTTTTGGATCAAAGACTCCTATGTTTGCTGAAGCCGTTGAAGCTTTTAGCTTATTTACTCAGGTCAAGGTTTGGGAGAAAAAAAAAAAAAAAGAAAACCCTGCTTTTTATCCTTTTCACTCATATTATGTTTCACTTTCACGAAAGTACAGAATGTTAGAAAACACCAGGGCCGGAGGGATTTCAGGTTTTGTGGTTGTTAAGTAATTTTCATGCTTTCAGCTGTTCAGTCTTTGCCAAAGGCCAATTCAAACACTGTAGAATATGAAGACATCCATTAAACGTACTTTCCTTACACACCACATTACCATCTCTATATCGATCCATCCTCCTTTTGTTTTTACTCAAAGGCTGACTTACTTCTATTCTTTGTAACACTTTAATCTCTAAAAAATTATCTAATTAATAGTTGCCCAGGTTGACAAGTTTTTTTTTTTTTCTTCCTGCTTTTCCAATAGTTTTGGTAGAAACATTTTTAATAAGGCTCTTAAACTCAGAGTATGAATTTGGAAGCTTTTTGTTTAAAACATCTTGTTACAAACACACAACATGATTTTGTTTTGTTTTTTTTCCCAATTTAATCCATTAAAAATACCAAACGTTTTGACAAAAAAAAAGTAGTTTACCACCAACGTGGTGTTAACCAAAGCATAATTAGCCAAATTTACATCAAATTTACAAAACTTCCGCAATACTTTCCGATGCCACAATGTTTTAGTCAAGATATGATCTGTTGTTCTTCAATGAAGAATGAAAAATTTTAGACATTTCCATAGCTTTGAGCAAGGAACCAGTAAAAAAAAAAAAAGCACAGTTACAAAGGACCTGCCAAATGGACGGGCAGCTGGCCGACTGGTTTGTTGGCTGAAATACTTCTACATCTGTTTCACATTTAGAAAAGCAGATAAAAGCCCACTGGTTCTAGCAAAGTTTATATATATATGAGATATTTTCTCATCCTTTGTTTTTCCCTGCCCTACATATCTAAACCTCAAAAATAATTTATCATATTCCATAACTTAGCCTGTTCAGTGCAGAGTAAGGTCGTTTCCCAGGTTTGTTAAACAGTGCAGTAACTTTGCCATGAATTTCTCTTTGCTGGTGTGGTGATCCTGGGTGCTCGGGTGGTTTTCCTGCTGCTTCTCGCTCCTTCCACCAGGGGCCGCCTGGTGGATGATCTCTGGTGGGCGTGACCAGGGACGCTGGGATCCTCACACCTGTCGGAGATTTTCTCATCTCCGAAGAGGTTTAAGAGTGGAGTCAACCAACACATCGATGCCAGATTGTTAACCAGTAATGGTACTGTAGGCCACCACTAGAGCAGTTTGTGATTCCTCTGAGAACCCTCCAGTGACACCTGTTGTGTTTACTCGTTTCCAGACAACCTCCTCGAGACGTCCTGGGTCACCCCCCCGAGGCTTTGAGTTCCTGGCTGTACCTGATCCTCTTACCCCTCGCCGGTTGGTCCGCAGCAGATTGCCCCACCCGAAACGACCCAGGAAATACCAGTATCCACCCCCGCTTACCTACCGCCTGACTGTAAGATCGGTCCCGCTCATTCAGAACCCGGACATCCACAGACCTTTACTCATCACTCATCCTCTCTTCCAGCCCGTTCCTGCTGCCCAGTTCCTTGAACCCTGCTGAAGCTCTATTGTTTTGTTGTTTTTTCATTAAACATCTTTTACTGATACTTGGTTCTCTTGTTTCTGCATGTGGGTCAAAAAGTTACCTCCCATTATGACAGCTGGAGTTTTTCCCTGTTCCTGTTTCTCATAGACATGTCACCTCAGTTTCACCGATGCGGCTTAAAAGCTTTTCACGATGTAAGAGTTTCATACCAGTCGATGTTGACAATTATCGATGTCGATAATTACCGATTAGTTTTTGATTCCAAACTGGTGGTGCGACGTTTCCTGGTTATTTATCTACAGTTTTCACTCCACGCCTTTGTTTGTTTGTAAGCAGTTTCTAGGGACAATGGCCAAACTTGAAACTGCTGCTGTGCAGGTTGCTCAACAGGTTGTTGCTAGGCAACCAAAGAGCGAGCGAGCTAGTTGATACCACAAACCTAGCTTAGCTGGTTGTGAGAGGTTGAGCAGCTAAAGCCTTTTCTTCTGCCTGCGTCTGCGTCTCCCAGAATGCTGTGCGGTTCTGGATAGGAGTTCTGTGAATATTCGTCCCGTCTACTGATGCTGATGACGTTTTTTGGCCACAAAACAAACACTGCTGCCTTTCACGTGTACAAATATTGAATTGTTTTGCTATGCAGCAAGCCTGCCGTACATCATTGTAAAATGTTCAACGTGTCGCAGTCTCCTCTCCTCATTTGGTGTGCTCACAAACAGGCCGACTGCTGTGAGGAGTTTGTGTGCACATGCCAATATTTGTTTTGAGCTTCTGTGTCTGCTGTTTATTTAAAAGTGCCACCTCGGTTTGCTTTAGGGGCGCTGAATCTGTCAGCACTCTGTGTGGCATCCTCATCTGAGAAACCCCTGCAGTAGTTAAAGGTAAATTGGAATAATGCCTGCCAGACAGGGAGAAACAAATAGCGTAACTCTCCAACATAAATCATTCTAACTCTCAATGCGGTTTGAAACGTCGAGATGTTTTTTTTTTTTTTGCCCAGTCCCCCTAGTGGCAGCACGTTGCTATTTCACGGCTTTGTCTGTGGAGCAAAAGCAAACAAGGATTAGCTGCTTGAATTACATTTGTAGTCAATAATTTGCAAAGTTTCTTTCCTGGTCTGAGATGTTGGAGGGGAGATGTTGGATCAAATGTAAACCAGGTGAGGTAAGACTCATTAAGAAAAAATTTTTTTAGTAACTAGAGGAGACACTGTGTGAGGGATTTACCCCTCACACAGGGATTTACCTCCCTAACAGGAGCTGGTTTTTGTACTTCTATATTCTAATTTATCTGGTAAATGTATTTTTTGTTTGTTTGGAGGAAGTAACTGTCTTTATTTAATATTTTGTGTTAATCATTCTCTCTTCTCTTTGAGGTCACCTGGTCATGTGTTGCCATGGAAGCGCACCTTTGAAAAGTTTTAAACATTAGCCCATGAAATTTAGATAAAAATGTATATATTTCAAACATGTTAAAAATGTCAGAACGAATAATATTCATATACAAAAAAAAAAAAAAAAACAACTTTAGGGAGAAGCCAGTGCTTATCACCATGGCCATTTGCATCTAATTTTTGTTCCATGTCCCAATTTCTACACTTTCAAATGTGTGTAGAAAGTGCTATTAAAATTATTCACAGTTTTAAAGCGGCGATGGTGCTATTTATTTTGCAAGCAGTGCCATATTACAGTACAACTGTTCCGTTTTTTTGTGATTAAAAATGATGTGTCAAATGTGACTTTAAAAAGGTTACATGAATTTATATATTTGGTATATTTTTGGTGTTATATTCTCTGTCGGTGTTATTTTTTATTTTATTTTATTGTATTTTTTGGGGGGTCTTTCTATTGATTCATTTTGTTTATGTTAGTGATTATTAAAAAAAAACGCGTACGTGTGCACAGCTTGTTTGTTTACACTTTTTGTGTGTATAATTTGAGAAATTGCGATTTAGTTTGATTGCTGATGGTTTACATTTGCTCTACAAATATTTACACTGGCCAAATTTAAATACACATATCATCATCTTCATCGTCATCATCACCATCATCATCATCATCATCATCATCATCGTAACACAGCCGCCGTCCTTGCGGAACTGTTCTTCTGAACATCACCTTCATCTCTGACACACGTGTCGCACAGTGGGAGGGATTTTTGAATCGATCCGAAACAGACTGGGTGGAGCGCCGCAGCACAAACTTAAAGAGGAGGAGGGAAAAAAAGCTTTGAGTCGATCAGTCGTGTTTCTGTGTCCGGAAAGTCCGTGCGGATCAGTCGGTAGAGCTTAAACTCAAAGTCTGCATCGAAGAATTTGCTGTCATTTTTCTCAGAGTAAAAAAAAAGAGAAAAGAAAAAGACGGAACAGCCAGAGCTGCAAAATGAGAAAGTTAGAGGAATGAAAAAGTTGAAACTTTTTTATACATTTATTATTATTATTATTATTATTATTATTATTATTATTATTGTACTGCTGCTTCAGTGAGAGGTAAGTAACTATATCATTCATTGCAAATATGCCTGTGAATCATATTTTGACGTTGTGACAAAGAGCAAGACTTTTCTATTAGCACGATGCCACTTTGTGATATTTTAGGGTTTTCTGCCTGATCTAAAAGCACTTTTATATGTTCTGCAGGACCTGCGTGCAGTGAGGGGTGATGGGGCTGTGAGGGTGTTAACACGAGGCAGCATCGCGCCCTTTACTCCGCATCCTCGCTGTTTTGCCAAATGACTGTCTCCAGAAAAAAGGATTTACGCTCGGATTGTTTTCAGTGAACCCTCCTCGTGCTGGGAGACCCCGCTCTGGCGAACATGAACAGCAGCTCAAAGTGCCACGGCCAGCACTCGATTGTTGGCCAAGGCAACAAACCAATAACCATCACTTTCTTTTCGCTCGGAGTGGTGGGAAACCTGCTGGCCCTCTTCATCCTCTTAGTGCATCAGAAGGAGAACCGCTCCCGGTCCTCGGTCTTCTGCATCCTGGTGACCGGCCTGGTCCTCACCGATCTGCTGGGAACCTGCCTCCTCAGCCCGCCGGTGTTCATCTGCTACGCCCACAACATGTCCTTGATCGGCCTCGGCGGGGAGAAGCTGTGCAACCTTTTCGGCTTTGTGGTGAACTTTTTCGGACTGGCGTCCACCCTCATCCTGTGCGCTATGGCCCTGGAGCGCTGTATGGCCATCAGCCACCCGTATTTTTACTCGGTGCACATCCGCCCCACTTTTGCCAAAGTCGCCCTCTTCTTCGTGTACCTCTTCTCCTTGAGTTGCTGCCTCTTGCCGTTCAGCGGGTACGGTAAATTCCGGCAGTACTGCCCAGGGACGTGGTGCTTCATGGATATGGGGGACGCCCCTGGCACCTGGGAAGAGCGTGGGAAATTGATCCTGGCCTTCTCGCTGTCCTACTCCTCGCTCAATGCGCTGCTGATCTTCGTCGTGTTCGTCTGCAACGGCTCCGTGATCGTCAGCCTGTGCAAGATGCACCGCAGCCACCTGGTGCGCCGCGGCTCCGTGGTGTCGGTGGCCCGGAAGAAAAAGCTGAGCCTGGCCTGGTTCGGACGCGGGGAGGAGGAGATGGACCACGTGGTGATGCTGGCGCTTATCACGATCATCTTTATGGTGTGCTCCCTGCCTCTAACCGTGAGTATATCATGCGCCCCGCTTCCATCCAGGGCCGGGTTTTAGCGGGATGCGGGCCCCTGGGTTAGAGCAGGTTTTGGTCCCCCAATGCAAAAGAGCAAATCGGAGGAGAGAGGGAAAACCTCAACAGTTGTTTTTTTCTTTTCTTTTACTGCTTAGTGGAAAACATGTTATGTATTACGATTGCTATTTTATTTGAACGTCTTCCAGCATCTCTGCTGCAAATGAAAACTCTAAAGGCACATTTCAGCTACGTCTATATTTTATTGTTTTATTTCAGACAATAAAACTTACACTGGCAAAGATTTTAATATTTCTTGCAACGTAATGCCATTGCTATAGATGAACAACCTGTGTTAATCTACTAATGCAGATTAGCTACTGCACATTAGCTGCAGTGGCTAATCTAACACAGAGGTGGTTAATTTAAACACTTGCTGCTCTTTTTGTAGTTTAAATGAACCAAAACACATCGAATCCCACGTCACATCTACATGTTAAGGTTGCCAAAGTCAAATAACTGACCTACTTACCACTCTCTTGCTACTTTTATTATGAATTAAAACTTTTTGCTAACCTTGTTATCTCGTTGTCGTAGTGTTGACAATTAGTAGCGAAGCACTGCGTCCCTTTTTCTTTCATATGTCACATATATGTAGCGCATTATGTTGACAACAGTTAAAACCAGTGGTGGTCATCGTCGGTGATCTTCCACGCATGGCGTCATTCTGCAATTTGCCTTTATTATAGCAGCTGAGCAACTTATGTGTGAGAAACAAGGTTTCTCTTAGTTATTAAGGCCTGTGAGGAGCAGCAGACCCGTCTTTGAGGACCAGAGGCAGAATCGGTTATAGCTAAAGAAGCTGGTCGTTCACAGTGTCCAGTATCCAAGGATATGAGTGGAAGATAAAAAGCGTTGTACGATAATCTGCACCAGCAACACACAAGATTCTCAAGCAAAATGTTTTCAAGAATTCATGGCAGCGGAGTCGTCGCTCCCAGACAAACCCTAGACATGGGCTGCAGGTGTTTTACCTGGGCTGGGAAGAAAAAGAACCGATCTGTTGCTCAGTGGGCCCAGGTCTTCTTTTCAAATTAATGCTGAGTTTGTCGCAGAGCAGTCGCTCACAGCTGACGTAGCCCCACGAGGCTAGACGTCACAGAAATTGCTGGAAATGTCAACTTTTTCTCCAAGGTTATGTACTGCTGCTTCTAAATATTGGATTCTCTGAAGAAGGATGGCTCTGCTTTTGGAGAACAGACTCCTGGGCTCGTGGATCAGTTTGACTAAATATATAGCGAAATGTAGGAATTTGATCATTGCTCTTCCGTTTTTGCCAGTTATTAACATTCCTAATAATATGTGATAAAATCTAGCTTATTAGGATGGCCTGCTATATTACATGGTTCCAGCTCTCAATAGAAGTCCCACTAACTCACATGGTTCTTTGGGAACATTAACCATCCACCGGTGAATTAAAGCCCACAAATGTCACATCTAAATATAGCACAGGGTTGAGTTACGTCAGAGGAGAGGATGAAGCGCCATTGTTTTCAAAAATTCATTTACACGACAATCTGGCAAATTACGGCACCTCACAGTGATATAAGTTTCTGCGTAAACCTATAAGGTTTCATGTATGAAATCTTTTCATTTCACAGATGAAGTCTTAGGCCCCTCCAAACTGCTGCTGGTCCGGGTTTCGAACGTTGAGGCATCATTTGTCACAATTGGAAAACTAGAAAGTTATTTACAGAAAAGTGACACAATAGCTTGTAAATCCCAGAGCTCCACACTGCTGTCAGAACAAGTCAAGGAAATGTTTAATCGTAACATAAAACAAGTGGCTTATGCTTCCTGTTCTTTTGCTCTTGTAAGTGGTAACGTCAGAGCAGGTATGTGTATATATTCCCATCTGTCATTGTCTACTCTCGTTCTTATATCATCACACTTATGTAAAAGAAGCTTTCTTGGGCATGGCAGCTGTTTTGGAATGTGCTTGTAGGCAGAGTTTAAGCCTCTTTAACGGCCGTGTTGTGTTTAGGTGTGTCTGAGACGTGCGAGTTTGTTTTGAGGAGTAAGCCTCACATTTGCTCCTAGTCTAGGGGAGTGGACCTAACCTGAAAACCCTAGAGGACTGGTCCTGCCTCTCTCCACTGGGGCAGAAGGTTGCCCTCCTTTTTTGTCGGAATCTGAGGTCAAATCAGTTCCGCAAAACATTTGCTAGAAACACTAAATAATGAGCTCAATGCGTGTCACAAAGCGTGTGTTTCATAGTAAAACAATGTTTGCTTTTCTTGTCTGGTCACCGTCTTTTTGGTGATAAAGTGGTTTACGGAAAGCAGTAAAAAAAAAAGGGTTCTTGTTTTTTGCCATATGCTAGTTTGTGGTCTGTTCCTGGATGCTTGACTCAGCTCTGGTTCATGATAGTATTTGACCTAAATCATTGCCGAAAACCCCAGAGGGGGAAATGAGCCGTGATGACAAAGTTTTCTTCTCATCTGTCTAAGATTCAGGAAAACCCAACTTTGGTGCCTGCAAACATTTTAGTAATGCAGTGAGGCGTTCGAGTCAAAAGAGATTTGGATCTGGAAATGTCCTGAGTGTTTTTGTGCCTGATGTCAATTTGAATTTCAGCAAAAATATAATACCAAATATCGATATCACACATAACTCTGCCTCCCTGACAATGACAGATATTTTTGTTCCAGAGTGGGGTTAACTTGGTGAAGCTGCAATTATGCATCTGCTCTTATTTTCTGCTCTACCTTTGCTCTCACTTCTATATGTTTCAATTGATCAAACAATAGTCATTTTTGATTCGTTGTTAACTCTTGGGGAGATTCACCGTTTTTTCTTTTTCCCAAATGCTAATATTGGCTCTCGTTGTGGCTTGTTGGAGTAAAAACCAACACTTTCTAAACGTCTAATCCTTCCCAGATGGATTTAGAGCTCTGTTTAAATGACTTTGGATCAAAATCATTTGTTGCCCTTTGAGATCTTTTAACCTGCTTCATGTTCTGTTTGTGCAACTCCTTGAGTCCCCGGGTTAATGAGTAAGTAGGATCCTATTTGCTCACACTTCACACAACTATAACTAAACTTAGCTTTCCTTAAGACTCTCGTTAGTTATTATTTGCTCAGGATCTAAAGAGGGTAAAAAATGACATAAGTTTGGAAATGATTCTGCATTTCTATAACTTTTTTATTTTTATTTTCCCCAGTTTGATATTAAAATGTTCTGACAACAATTATTTTTTAGTATGTATTTGACTTTACACACACAGCCACACCCTTAAATAACTCTGGACTCTATGCTAGAGTGTTTTTTTTTAATGAGTCATTGATATTTCAACTCCTTATACAGTTCAGTGTGTTTCCTGTTGTACAGAAAAAAAAAACAAAGATTGACTTCCTGCTTCATTTCCTGCTTTTTACAGTGATTTTCTGTCACGGTCCTTTGAGTGCAAGTGTCATACGTCATTGATATACCGTTGATTTCATTTTTGGCCACTCTGATTTTAACAACACTTTCACTGTTGTTACTTTCCTGTTCTCGTCACGCTCCGATCTTGACCAGGACTCACTTTTAAGAGATTTTAGGTCTGGATCAGCAGCTGCTCTCTGCCCAGTGAAAGGTGTTTGAGCTCAGCAGGCCGGATGGGCCACATAACACAATGCCGTCTCAGTCTGGATGTGAAATCGGATGGTGAAAACAAAAATGCTTAGAGTCTCTGGCGAAAACCTGGATTTGACTAACAAAACAACGTGCAAATCCTTTAGTGCAGATTTGCTTGCTGCTGATAGGTTGTGATTGTTGACAGTCGTCTTTTCAAAACACTGTGACGTGACGCGCTTTCCACAAAATCACAGACAGCTTTCGGGACTTGTCAAGTGCAGAGTTGCGTTTCCAGCACACGTTTTGTAATGTTTTCCATAATTTAGCTCTCTCGTGCCAAGCGTGGACACACGTCTAGAGGTCTCTGTGCCTGTTTGTGCGTGTAAATCATTTCCAGTTGCACTCGTCACTCTGCAAAGCCTGATTCTACACGTACAAGCAACAGTAACCTTTTCCAGTCAGACCTGAGCTGGTGATTAACACCCGCTGGTTTGGCTCATAGCGCAGCAGATGCTGGAACGGGAAGGGGAGAGAGAAGCAAAATGTCTGATTCAGTCTAGTGGGATGTTTTCACCGTGTTGCTCACACTAAATTTATTACAGCAAGTTTTTGTCTTGACATGTACCGGAAGGCTAAACGCCTGCGTCCTTGTGTGTTGCTCTTAGTGAACACAGCAAGAGCAAACCACAAAACCATGAAACGACAGTGTGTTTCCGGCTTATCCTTGCATGTGTAAAGCACGTTCTCCGAGGGCAGATATCGAGCTGTGCCAGCGTTGTCACCATTCTGATGCAGAGCGGTGAAGGAAAAAAAGCAGGGAGAAGAGAGTAAATGGTGTCTTTTTTCACCATAACGTTGGCAGGGAAGAATAATAATGACATGATCAGAGAGAAGATTGATCATATGCAGTTTTTCTATTGGCTCTCTACCGTGAACGGTGTTTTCAGATCTCGTATTTAGACTTCAGGTTTCAGCAGATCCTCGTTTACTTTGTGGAAACTAGGAGACGTCTTGTCGAGCAGTTGGGGAAGATTTATTTCGAAGTCAAACTTCACATCCAGGGACGTTGCGTTCAAGGACGAGGTGAAACGGAGCTGTGGCGATAGTGGTTGGCATAAAGCTGCTGTGTGTCTGAGATCCGTTCAACTTCTCAGGCTTGTCTCCGTATATTACCCACCACCTCTATTAGATTTATAGTCTATTGTGCCATTACAGTAGTCGGCTCTGCTAAAGTGTCATTGAGCAGTAAAAGTGTGAGGTGATTAATTTTATTACTTCAGAGGATCTGTGAAAAATGCACTTAATTTGTTTGTTCCCAGAAGAAGCCTTTGATTTATTTATTTCTTTTGTACTCAAGTCACTGACGTATTTAAAAATGCA